AGGATGATCTACACATCTACACAAAAACTTTACAGAAGAATTGAGCACTTTAACCAAAATGTAAGCATTTATCAACGTTTATAATGCTTATTCTCACCAATGCTGCATTTATTTGATCAAAAACAGTACAAACAGTAATATTGTAAAATATTATTACAATTTAAAAGAACTGTTTTCTATGTTGATATATTTTAAAATGTAATTTATCTCTGTGATGTCAAAACTGAATTTTCAGCATCATTACTCCAGTCTTCAGTGTCACGTGATCCTTCAGAAATCATTCTAATGATGATTTGCTGCTCAAGAAACATTTCTGATTACCGTATTGCCAATGTTGATTATTACCACCCGTTTTTACGGTATTTGTGATCAAATAAATGCAGCCTTGTTGAGCATAACAGACTAAAAAACAACATTAAAATATCTTTCTGACCTTTTCAGCAAATTTGCTTACCAACCTCACCAACTATACAGAGAGCAAGATTCACAAACCAATAGTAGCCTAAAAAGAGGCACACCTTTACAATTCTTCTTTAAGCTGTTTGTAATCTTTATGTAAACTATATTTACCACATGGAACACCAAACTGAAATGTGTTTGTTTATAATCGCTTACGACTGACAATGAAGTAGGCTAACATAAAGAGGCTTTCTTTTTTATTAAAACACCTCCAACAACAAAGATATAGCCTCAAGTGAATCAAACCGCATGTTGTACTGTGCGTTTTCACCTGCCTCTTGCCGCAGTAAATCCCAGCGCACAAAAACACGAGACCGGACAGCCTTCAGCCATACAGATACAAAAGACAAGAAGGCCGTAGAGCTTTCAGCTGAACCGCTAAACCTCCTGAAGAATATTAAACTATTATCTGACACAGGGCTTGTTGCCTCCCTGAAGTACCACAGAACAATACTGCCTAAAGATGAAAGGATGAAGAGACATGAATGGAAGGATAAATCAAGGAGATATGAACTGGTAATAATCTTAAAGGAGAAAATCTGTTGTTGTGTGTGAGTGTTAATATACTGTCGAAATGGCCTGAACTGAAGACTGAACAGAATTACAGTCTTGTGTTATGAAGATCAATAACATCAACATGGGATTCATGAAGTGAGCAGTTCACCAGCTGCAGACAAATGTTGTGTATTAAATATACTCCAACTGAATATGAAGCACTCTATCTTGTTGTCGCCAAATGCACAGATTCATCTGTTTCCACACTTGATTATCAAACCATACGTTGTCCTATGAATATCACTTCATCATGTCTTGTTTAAAATGCATATGTGAGGAAAGTAAAAATAGTATCATTAACCCACTCCCTGGCCTTCATATACACACAGATACACAAAGGAAAAGAAGTGGACTGCCCTCTGCTCCTCACAGCAAACTGAGCAGTGTGGCATGAATTATTCAGTCACTTTCACACGGCTTGAATAACAGATGGCCAGTGGGCTTTTCACCCAGGAAAAGAGCACCAAAACATGAACTTATGGGTTAATTAAATGGACACGTGTGTATTTCGGGCAGAAAAGGGGTGTTTTGTAATGGAAAAAAATGACATGAAACCTGCTTTGGATCCTTGGTAGACAGAGGACCTCTTTTCTCTTTGTCTTCCTGAAGTGAAAGACCTGGGAATCACTGCCATCTTGTGGAGGATTGTTGATGTGTAGTTGGAACATGGACCAAAAAAATAAAAATAAGATATGGTAAGTATACACGACGTGTATAAAATTATATTATATGCATTTTATATGCAAATCTTTATTTACTCACCCTCATGCTGTTACAAAAACGTATCTTCTGTGGAACAAAAATGTACACATTTACACGTCTTTTCCATTCAACAACATGGCCACATCTGTTAATCTCCAAAAAAAAAGCAACACAAAAAAGTAAGCCTACTATAAAAGCTGATCATACGACTGGACGCTGTATTATGATAGATTTGTGTGAGGAGCAGACCGAAATTTAAGTAATTATTGATAATCTTTTAAACCAGAGGTAACTCGAAAACGCTGCGACCATACTGAATCAGTGAACTGTGTACGAATGATTCGTTCAATCCAGATTTTAATCCGGATCAAATCCGACTCAAAAGAATGATTCATTTACTGATTTGGTTAAAGAGTTCAAGTTCAACTCAAGAATATTATTCACATAGCCTATAAATCTTAAAGGTACAACAGCAAAAACTGGCTTGTGAATTGTAACAAAATTGTTTTGACAATATTAAAGAATTGTAGGCTAAATTGTGTGCAGAGGTGGACAGTAACAAAGTACATTTAGGCCTACTTTAGTATAGTGTATTAAGTAAGTAGGCACTTTTTGAGTATCTGTACTTTACTTGAGTAGGCTATATTTTTTTCTGTGTGAAAAATAATAAGTGAAACTTTTTACTTTAACGCTACATTTGAAAGACAAATATCATACTTTTTACTCCACTTCATTTCTGTCAAGGTCCTCGAGTAGAAAGTAGTAGCTAACGTCAATCAGTGGATGATTTGCAGGGGTTGCATTTGTTGCATGGTTGGAAATGAAAGCCGGGTTGACGCCAGAACCAGACTGATGCTGGTTTCTGACATCAACCCGCCTGTCCAACGTTGGAGATCAACATCAATCTGATGTTGGATTCTGACATCAACCTGATTTTCATTTTCAACGTTGGGTTTGGTCTTCTAAATGCGAATTTTGTCATTGTTTTGGAGCACACTAGTTTATAGATTAGTAAGGCTGCCATATTCCTATTAAAAGTAAAAAAAAACTTTAGGGCACTATTTGAGGGTACAGCCATTTGGGTGTCCGGGTGTCCATTTGGGTGTTGATATTGATATGAGAGTAGGCAGGCATATATTCAGAGGCATAAGGTACTACATACAACAATGCAACAATAATAAAACAATGCATTGACATTTACTTTTTACTTTTGATACTACTTTTAAAAATACTTCTGTACTTTTACTTAAGTAAAAATAGGTCTTTACAACTTTTACTTGTAACGGAGTAGTATGTACTTTCAAGTAAGGAAGTTGTGTACTTTGTGTACCACCTCTGATTGTGTGCCTCTTTTTACTGGTTTCCGAATTGTTGAGTGTTCAAAAGCTTGAAGTCGTTAAGATTTCTTATTGTTTTTAAAAGAAGTCTCTTATGCCCACCAAGGCTGCATTTATTTGATCAAAAATACAGTAAAAACTATAATATTTTGAAATGTTTTAAATATTTGTGAAAATGTTAATATGCTGATTTTGTGCTCAAGAAACATTTCTTTTTATTATCAATGTTTAAAACAGTCGTGCTGCTTAATATACTATGTGTTGAAACTGGTCATTTTTTTCAGGATTATGTGAGGGATATAAATAGCATTTATAGTCTTTACTGTCACTTTTGTTAAGTTTAATGCATCGTTACTGAATAAAAGTAATACTTAATACAATTTATATATACAGTGCTGCTCAAAATTTTACACACCCCTTGCAGAATCTGTGAACATTTATTAACAAAATAAGATGTACTATATGTACATAATACAAAATGCATGTTATTTTTTATTTTAGTACTGTCCTGAATACACTATTTTACATAAAAGATGTTTACATATAGTCCACAAGACAAAAAAAGAAGCTACATTTATAAAAAATGACCTTATTCAAAAGTTGATGTACCCCTTTTTATAAATACAGCTATTTTTGGAGCTATTCAGCTACATAATGTCTTGTGGACTATGTAAACATTTATAATGTAAAATATCTTATCCAGGACAGTACCAAATAAAAAATAACATGGATTTTGTAAGATCCCTCTTTTTTTTTTTTAAATAGTTAACATTTTCAGATCCTGTAAACGTTTGAGCAGCACTGTATATACAGACCCCAAACCCTTGAGACTTTAAGGACCAGCTCCACCATAAAATAAAATGAATTAAATTACCCTGCAGTACAGGCACATAATTCATCAGATAGTAAACATTGCAAAAGTAAAGCACAAACAGAATCCACACACAAGAAAGAGCACAAAAACTATTTCAAAATTTCAGCACTTTAATTCACCCAGTTCTGTTTGTTGCTCTGCACAAATGAATTGATTACAAGGAAAAAACCTATCTCAAGGTCAAAGGTTCAGTTGCTCATCATAGGCTAGTGAGTGTTTAGAGGGTTGAGAAAAGCACTGACAGCTAATACTCATCCACATCAAGAGCTATGAAAGTCAAAACTCGACCAAAAAAAAACAAAAACAATTAATGCCAAGCAGGAAAAAATCAATCTGACAATAATAACAAATGCAATCCAGTAGTGGTGCATGAGAGCGTCATACACTCATGAAACGGCAGGAATTTGATCACTTTTCTCCAGAAAATATTTTAGAAGAGGATACCTTCACAATATAAAATGGCAGATTTAAACACTTTGAAATATGATTTCATAAATGGAAAGCCCACTGAACAGGTCTAAGTGTTGTCTATAACAAGACCATAATGGTCAGAAATGTCATTTACTATATTTGAGTATGTTTTCAAATAAACACACAGCCTTTATGCAGTCAACCAAAGCCAATTCATAACTTTCCTGGAGAAATATAATATCAGTTCACACACAAACTTTCAAAGCCACAAACTGTTCCAGGGTAAATCATACATAGTTCAGTTATAACATATTGAAACGCCTGCATGATACCATGTTATTCTGGTAAATATTAATGCATGCTTTGGCTTGTTAGGAAAGTTAAATGTTAAAAATTAAACCTTCGACCAAAGCAGAGATTTACCACAGTGCTATTTCAGAGTACACAACAACAATTGTGACATGACAGTCTTATTTACCGTTTTAGGAGATAAAAACAAAACAAATGATAACCTGTTTTAGGTTATGTTGGCACATTGAAAGCTGGACAGTGTAGTCATATAAAGATTAATGAATAAACTGAACATGGAAAAAAGGAAGAGGAAAATATAAACAAAAATTTGGGGGAAACAATGATTTCTAATATACAGGTGATTCTTGTAAAAAAAAAAAAAAAAAAAAAAGTGGTTAAAACTGTGCCCCTCCCAATCCTTAGGTTTTCTTAGAGAAGTCTTTCATTTTTTTCATTCTGTCTGCGCACTAGCATTATCCTAAACTCCATTCTAAGCTCAGACTCATCCTTTTCCTTCCAGAACTGAAGCTTGTATTGGGGCCAGACAGTGGCGTTGTGTTGGATGCCCCTGGTGGTCACACAGCAGAACAGCAGCGGTTCTCAAACAGCTGGTCAATGACGGAGCTGTCTGCTAATGTGGACACGTCACCTAAATCCCGTTCATTGCACGCTATCTTCCTCAAGACACGACGCATAATCTTACCTTTAAAAAAAATCCAGAAGAACACAAGAATCATCAAATATTAACGTTTTAATAATAATAATAATAATAATAATAATACAAAAATTATCCATTCAATATTAATACCTGATCTGGTTTTTGGAAGGCTGGGCGCATTCTGAATATAGTCAGGCGTAGCTATGGCACCAATCTTCTCTCTCACTGTTTCATAAAGGAAATGAAAAGAAAGCCATTACTCAGAGTTTATGATTCAACAAAAATCATTATTCAATGGTTTGTCAAGTAAGTTATTATTTAAATCAGCAGACACAAGCTCAAAACACAAGGAATAGTTTATAAAATAGGAATATTAGAATTGAAATAGGAAAATTTGTGAGCTCTGGCAGATTATCAGTAGAGATCATCAGTAAAAATAAATAAATAAATAAATTAACAGTTGTATGACTTCAAAAGATGGCGAATAAGCTGTACGGATTGTTTTTTTTTATGATACTTTTTAAGTTTGATGATATAAAATCACTTTCGCTGTAGGAAAGAGCAGTTCAAACATTCTGGCTAACATCTACTTTTGTGTTTTATAGAAGAAAGAGGATCATATGGGGTCCGACTTACATGAGAGTGAATAAATTATGACAGAATTCAAGTTTTTGCATGAACCATTCATTGAAGCACAGATACCTTGCTTTTTAAGCTCCGCCTCCAGCTTTTGGTTGAAGTTGATTCCGTCATTGAGGGTGACAAAACAGTAGAGACTCTCGCCTTTGACAGGGTGTGGTCTCCCCACAACCGCTGCCTCCGCCACGGCTTCATGCTCCACCAGAGCCGACTCCACCTCTGCAGTGCTCAGTAAGTGTCCTGGGAGAAACAAATCCACCAGCAATATAAGCTTTTGCTCTATTACTGGCTATTTATTGTACGGTTACTGGTATGTAAGCTACTTTAACGCTTTGTAAATCTCTAGAGTCATATCACTAAAGAGATAGAAAGCATGCAAGAGACAAATGTAATGTGTGTCCTGAATTTCATCAACTTGTCTTTCGAAACTCATTAATCTGCATTATTTCAACATCTGTAGGTCCAAGCCACACATTCTCTCTCTCCACACTGAGGGAAATTACACAACAGGAGACTTTTTTTTGTTGCAAATCAATAAACGAACAAAATGTCCTCATCCTCTACTCACCAGACACATTCAGCATGTCATCTATCCTTCCAGTGATCCAGTAGTACCCGTCTTTATCTCTACGACAACCTGGACAGACAAGACACGCTTAACTAAAGCACAAACTCTCACCTCTCACAATTATATGAAGCACACTTACTGTAAAACTGAAAACGAATCACAGCACAAATTACCGTCTCCAGTCACGTAATATCCAGGAAATTTCTTGAAGTAGGTGGTCTCGAACCTCTGGTGGTTTCCATACACTGTTCTCATCACACCCGGCCAAGGCTGTTTAAACACCTGAGGAAGAGAGGAGTGGAGTGAACACACAACAACTCGTGTTTTGACATGATTAATTAGTGTTAAGAATTTTAAAATTAACATGGAAATCAAGCAAAATGTATGGTTATCAAATCATCTCTTAACTAAAAATAGTATGAGGAAAAAAAATTACACACACACACACACACAAAAAGATCATTGTACCAGATAGCCTTCACTCGGTCCTTCAAGTTCCTCCCCCGACTCATTCAGAATAGCAGGTACAACCCCAAAAAAGGGAAATGTCTACAAACATTAACCACCATACAGAAGTTAGTAAGCGATTCTTCCACATTAATCTCAAATTAACATAATTCTGTTTTGTGGAAATTATTTAACATTAACTGTGGTAATGAATATTATGCAACAAATGCTGTTAATCAACTTGTATCCTTTAATGGTTACTTTGTGCAAATATATACACTTCTGTTAAAAAAAATTGGGGTCAGTAAGATTTTTTTTTTTGTGAAAAACACATACTTTTATTAAAAAGTGATAGTGAAGAAGACATTTAGAATGTTACAAAATATATTTCTATTTCAATTAAAGGCTTTTCAGTTTCCAGAAAACTATCAAGCAGCACAACCGGTTTCAACATTGATAATAATGAGAAATGTTTCTTGAGCATCGAATCATCATAGAATGATTTCTGAAGGATCGTGTGACACTGAAGACAGGAGTAATGATGCTAAAAACTCTGCATCACAGGAATAAATTACACTTAAAATTGTAAATTATTTAAAATTTTAATAATATTTCACAACATAACTGTTTTTACCATTTTTTATCAAAAACATGCAACCTTGGTGAGCATAAGATACTTCTTTCAAGAACATAATAATAATAATATCTTACTGACCCCAAACCTTTGACCACTAGTGTATGTTTTTATTCATTGCTATATTTTTATTATTTATTTATTGCACAAAGCTCACTCACGGCAGAGCCAGGCTTCAGGGGTGTAGCGGCCGGCAGAGGGGTCATCACATGCCCACCCTGAGGAACATACAAAAAAAAAAAGACAAGTGACCTTTATGGTAGACGGCTTCAAAGCAACATGGATGTAACTGCTCTGGCCAGAGTGTTATAATTCAGTTCATACCGTCTCGGTCTGCCAGAAAGTGTCCACCACCGGACATCTCTTCTCTCCCACCACGCTGTAGTACCACTGCCAGGCTTCTGGGTTTATGGGCTCCCCTACTGTCCCCAAAATCTTCAGGGAGGTCCGCTTATACCTGACCACACAGACCATTGCACGGTTTTGTAAATTTGACTATTTTTGTCAAATGTGGTAAATAGTAATAAAGACTGGCACATTCTGGCACCGGTTGTATGCAAAAACACACTATGGACGTATAAACGTGGCTCTGTTAGCAGACTTTGCACACAAAGAGACAAATACTATCAAGTGTAACTATATCATATCATTATAGTAGTTATCATAAAGTTACATCATCAAGTCGTGTTATCTGGAAATGGGAGAAAGTGTCCTAGACAGATAACATCACCAAGCAATGGCAATTATAAATAAACATTTATAATACTGTCAATAGACTCAGTACTTATTCCTAAACACCATACTTCATAATGTAAACACTATATTATATATACACTACACACAGTGTGTCAATGAAAAATATTACTGGATAAGAATTTCACAAAAAACTATTTTAAGGTCATATATTTTGATAGCTGAAGAACATAACAATGGGGGGTTCAGTGTCACATGTTCCTTCAGAAATCATTCTAATATGCTGGGTTTGTGCTCAAGAAACATGTATTATGATCAGAGTTGAAAACAGTTGTGCTTTCATCTTTTTCAGGATTCTTTGATGAATAGAAATTTCAAAAGAACATACTTTTTTTTATAATTTTGGTTGTAATATTATAAATATTCATATTTATGTAATATTGAAAATATGAAATTTTCAGCCGAAACAGCTATTTTCGGGTCGAAATGGTATTGGAGGGCCAAAATCAGTGGGCAAAACAGATGCTTAAAGGACAAGTTCGGTATTTTACACGTAAAGCCCTGTTTCAAGATCGTTTCTGATGAAATAGAACGGTTAAGATTAAAATTTGGACACATGCTGCTGTCCCGAGAAATGCTGCTGTTCTATTTCATCAGAAACGATCTTGAAACAGGGCTTTAAGTGTAAAATACCGAACTTGTCCTTTAATTAGCACTTCTCCGGCGGCATGATTTGACTGTTTTAGTGTCTGTTTCGTGACACAACGTGGATAAGCTACAACAGTGCTACAACATGTCAGCTGTGTGGACACTAGTCCTGGATTGACAATATTCATTTCTCGAATTTAATCGGTAATGATACGGTTTCTAAATCTAAAATATTTTAGTCTGTGCTGTTTTCTGTTGATGCGTGAACAAAACTTCACTAAACGTGTAGTGCCTGCCATTCAATAATCGCAAAAACCTTTGTGCTTTGTTTCTTTTAATATGAAGCAAAGTCTCAACTTCAAAATTCTGTCGATTTTATTACGAAATTCTACGAATAAAGCGCATATGAACCGATAATCTCTTCCTCTTTACTAGTAACAGCATGAAATAAACTTGGCTGAACCCCAGAAGGTATGTTGAAAGATATACTACAACTTACCGAAATTAAACCTCATGTAATCGCCGTTTCAACTGAGGAAAGTCATCAATAAAACAGCTTGTACACTATACAATGTCACTTAATGTTACATTTACCTCAAGAAAGCGATTCAAATGCCCATTAATTCACTATTTACTGTAGCTAGAAAAAAATAACTCCGAAGAAGAGCATTTGGCTAAATATATGCACTGTTTTACACATTCGTTATATTTTTACTTAACCTGTTAGTGATGTCTTCATGATTTAATGTATGTTTGAATAAATCTGTCATGAAAACAAATGATTACGGTTTATTGTCATTTAAATGTTTATATTTCACCAACAAACTAGAGTAGAAACAATTCTGTTATTAAAAACTTGATATAAAAACTGCCTTATGTGCAATTTAAATGTTTATACAACTCAGTTTTAGCCATTTGAGTGTTGATTAAAGTTTGATTAATTGGTTTTCAGCCAAGTGCATCCTGAATTTTTGGTTTCGGCCCGGAATTTCAATTTCAGTGCATCCCTATTATAAATGTATTAACAGTCACTTTAAAGTACTGCATTTCTTTAATTTTTTTTTTTTTTTCCTTTGTAAAGATTAATTGATTCCTCCAGGGCTGTAAATCACAATTTTAAAATGGTCTGATATTATGAAAACGGTCTGAAATTTCCCATGACTACAGAAACCCTCTCTAGTGTACTAAACCTAGGACAGACACAATAGACACCGAACTCACTTCTGAACGGGCTCGCTGCCGTACTTCATCAGTAGCCGGATGGCGGTGGGTGCTGTGTAGAACTTGGAGACCTGATATTTATCAACAATCTCCCACATTCGGCTCACATTCGGGTATGTTGGAAGACCCTCAAACTAGAAACAGAAGATAAAAAAATATATATTTATATTATACAACAATAAAGGCCTTTGTAGATAAGTCAATATGCTTTCAATCACTTAAAGACAGTGACTACAAAGAGCAAAATCAGGATGTACCCCTCACCAACACACTGGTTGCGCCATTGGCCAACGGCCCATATGTGATGTATGAGTGACCGGTGATCCAACCAATGTCCGCAGTGCACCAGTACACATCATCAGAGTGATAATCAAACACCAACTTAAAGGTGGCCGCAGTGTAGAGCATGTAGCCACTCACGGTATGCAACACACCCTAGTGGAGCGGTAGAGCGTGAGAAAAAGAGGGACAAATAAGAGCTGTATACGAAAAGCAAATAACGCAGTTATTAAAAGTAGTTCAAGGAGGATTGGGTTGTTTGGAGGATCTACCTTAGGTTTCCCAGTAGAGCCACTGGTGTAGAGGATGAAGAGCGGGTCCTCTGAATCACACCACACAGGCTCACACTCCTCTGACGCTCCACCAATCAGAGTGTGCCAACACATATCCACCTCAGGATTCCACGGCACCTGCACCAATCACAGCACAGAGAGCGCTCATAGTTAACTCGGCTCGTGTAACTTTGTTCACTCTTCCTGGTGTCACACGTCAGAGAATGATACAAAATTTAGGGAACCTGAAGTTATCAAATCAGTCTGTGAAGGTTATAAACTGCTGGATTGAACAGAACAAATGCTGCTTTCAAGTCATGGGAAGTGATTTTGGTTGTTTTAGAAGTAGTGCAACATAAATACTGAGCCAATGGTGTACATCATGTGCGTAACTGATGATGCTTTATTTACTTCAAGTACTTTATCATTGTCACACTACAACAGAGGATGACGGGTAGTTTGGTAGTCCGTCATCTCATAAATTGGCTAAATTAGTAATATTTTCTCGTATCAATAAAACGATAGATACCATTTGTACATATAAGCTATTACATTTCTGACACAACCTTATCAGTGTTATGTATTATTTATTTACTATCATAGTATTTTCTTTAGTACTAAAAGTTTGTTTATATAATGTGATATATATATATATATATATATATATATATATATATATATATACAAACTTTTATGTTAATGCGATTAATCGATTTGACAGCGCTATTTATTTTACATTTTGAATTAGCTTTGAATATTTTTGTTCAGTTTTAATTTTAGTTTAAGCTTCAGTAATTTTGTTGTTTTTTATTGTTTTTTTATTCCATTTCGCTTTAATTTATTTTTTACTTAAGTTTTATTTGTAATCATTTTTGTACTTGAACTTTTTTTTTATTATTATTAGCATTTCTAACTGCCGTTTAAGTTTTTCTATTTAATATCTATATCTATATATTTATTTTTATTTATTCATTTATTTATTACTTTATTTAACAAAAAAATTGATGGGAGAAAACATTTTTCAATGCTTTTGTGTTCGCTCGCAAAAGTTTTGTGTTCTTTGCGTCTCTGGGGGGAACGCAAAACATTTTTGAGAGAAAGCGAAAGCATTCACAAAATAATCTTTCCTCCCATCTCATATTTGTTTCCTTCACCATGTCCCTTTAGGGGCTCCGTAATAAACACTCAAGTCCACATGCCCCATAGACTTCTACTGTAATCACTCTATAACTACAATGGGTTTTCTATTTGTTTTTATAATGGAAAAATCATTGTTGTGTCAAGCATTCGTTCATCTCGTAAATACAACTATTCCAGAATGACTTGGAAAGCGGCAAAAGATGAAATGAAAAGATTGTATGCAAATAATATGTTAATTAGAGGCACACGTTGGTATTTATTTCAGTCAGACTTATTAGACAGATTCAGTTCAATCTAACCGAACTGAATTCAGCACAAATGCCCGTCTGCTTTAGCCAAAGCGTTTTCAAAACTGAAAGAGAAAGCATCTGAAAAGATCAGGTTTAGTTAACACAAAAACACTAGACGGACAAACAAAAAGAGACATGAACGCAACAGAAGTCTAAAGATCTAGTTTTTCATGCAGTTCAGAGACAGGGGGAACACTATAGTTCATTTAAGTGACAAGAGCATTAGCATGGAGCTCATAGGTGAGAGTTAGTGTTTGACTACTACACAGAGAGAACCGTCAAATCCATTAGACTGTCTAAGCAGAAAAGGGTTAGCACATAAAACTGCTAACACCGAGCGTTTAGAGTCTAGTCACTACCATGACATAAGAGCTTCCCAGATACATTTGTGATGAAATCGCAAAGCGTATGTGAGGAGATCATCTAGGACATGGACACACTTGTCATTTAACAGAGATGTGGTCCTTTTACTAGGAACAGTAAAAGGTTTCAGTGCTAGCTCCTGGATCAGAACTGGCGACCAAATCAAGTGGAAACACTTCATAATAACCATTAACAAAACAGGTCAGTAGTTGGCATTTCTAACCTTTTACATCTCTGAATGTATTGAGGTATTAAGGAATTATTTAATATTTTATGTCATAAATGTTTTTGATGTTAATGAACATTTTTATGAAGTGTTACTGAACAAACCAATACTTGACAATGAGGGACTGTTTCAGTCTTGGAGTAAAAAAAAATCTAAAAAAGAAAAACAAACACTTCCATATAAAAGGATGAGGTCAGTAAGACAAAAAAATGTTTTTCTTTTATTCAGCACGGATGCTTACCATTGATAACAAGTATCAGTAAAGCCATTTATAAATGTTAAACGAAACCATTTTCATCTCAAATAAATGCTGTTCTTTTGAACTTTCAATTAACCAAAAACCCTAAAAAATTATATGCATTTTATAAGAAATATGATGCAAAATAAGAAATGCTTTAAAGGGATAGTTTACTCAAAAATGAAAACATCGAACTTGAAAAACTTCGACATCAATTACTCGCCCTCATGTCGTTCCAAACCCGTAAGACTTTCGTTCATCTTTCGTTCAACACAAATCAAGATCTTTTTGATGAAATCTGAGAGATTTTTTTGTCCCTTCATTGACAGCTACGCAACTACCACTTTGTTGCTTCAAAAAGTTCATAAAGAGATCAAACGTCAAGTTTGAGTTTCTTCCGAACATTTGGACTAAACAGCTCAATTCATATGGATTAGTTTTACAATGTCTTTATGAACTTTTTGAAGCGTCAAAGTGGTAGTTGTGCAGCTGTCTATGGAGGGACAGAAAACTCTCAGATTTCATCAAAAAGATAGATCTTCATTTTGTGTTCCGAAGATGAATGAAAATATTAGGGGTTTAGAACAACATGGTGATGACAGAACTTTCATTTTTAACTATCCCTTTAAGGCTGATTTATAAAGACATTTATAATGTTACTATAATGTCCTAAACTATTTATCAAATAAATGCTGTAAAACCTCTACATTCATTAAAATATCCCGAAAACACACAATTCCATATAAAAATTGAACTGTTTTCAAGATTGATAATAAGAAATGTTTATTAAGTTCCAAATGGACTCGAGTAATGGCTGGTGAATTCAGCTTTGTCATCATAGTAATAAATTATATTTTAAAATACATTAAAATAGAAATGTACAATTCAAATGATATTTTACTATATTATAGAAATAGTGTATTTTTGATCAAATAAACGCAGCCTTAGTGAGCGCTAGAGACTTCTGTCAAAATCTTACCAACCCCAAACTTTTGAACAGCAGTGTATAATGTTGTAATTGTTGTGAGAACATTGTGAACGTCATATTGTGCAATACAGTCACAATTATGAGAAGTAATGTCACAGTTCTGATGAGAATTGTAATTACATTTTCATGTACAACTCTGAGAAAACACATTTTTAACACTCGCAATACTGTAAACTTGACTACTTTAAAAACAATAAGGAACATTCTAAATTATTTTCAACTTAATGTCTACTTAAATACCTCATCTATGATCTGCTGTCAACAACAGCAGTTTATTTCTATTAATTACTTAGTTTTTACAGTTTAGTAAAAAGAAATAAAAAGTCCAAACAAGTCAATTATCATAGGTAATCGACTGAATACAACATTAATGCATTCATTAAGACATTATTTAGCTCAAGTGAAGACATTAAGTTGTTAGTAAGTCAGAATATGCCTTTAATGTATGGCCTTAGAATTGAACGCCAAGTCTGATGAGTGTGTACATGGTGAAATGCATTTTCAAAAGCAAACACACAGCAACACACACAAACATCGTGTTGTGTGAGAATGTGAGGACAGGTGATAAAGGTCTCAAGCCGTTCCTAAAAACAAGAGAGCCGCCCATGAGCACACAAACAGGTGTTAATAAGACAACCAAAAAAAAAAAAAAACCCCACACACACACACAACTGATGCACAAAGGAGACATGAAATACCTGTGGGGGGGGACGGACCTTCCTTACTCTTTTCTGTTTCTCCTGCTAAAGGGGGTTAATGGAGAGATTACTCACACCGAAAGAGGAAAAGGACACAGACATGGACCCACATTGATGGAGAAAAAATTATCTTTTGCATAAAAAGTCAAATTGACATTATTAGAATTACAGGTTTAAAAGAGGTCAGCTTGCACAGGTGAGCGTCACACATAAAACGTTCAACTGTTTCAAAGGTCTTCGGCACAATAGCTCAGGGAAAACACACCAGACCTTTATGGATTTACAACAGTAACAGTTAGCCTTTGTTAAATAACCAGGAGATATCTCTAACACACAGGACAATGCAAGACTCAAAACTCCACAGGAGATGTACAGGACAAGAGTTAAAGGGTTAGTTCACCCAAAAATGAAAATTAAGTCATTAATTACTCACCCCCATGCTGTACCAACCCCGTAAGACCTTCGTTCATCTTCGGAACACAAATGAAGATATTTTTGATTAAATCTGAGAGCTGGATCACTCCTCCATAGGCTGCCTAAGGGACTGACACTTGACGGCCCAGAAAGTCATTAAAGAAAATGTTTAAATGTTTCATGTGCCTACAGTGGCTCCACTATAAGTTTATCAAGCGACGAGAATACTTTTTGTGCGAAAAAAAACTAAAATAACGACTTTATTTGACTATTCCATTGCTTCCTTGTGGGCCTGAGACGAGAGTTCAAGAGATTTCCAGGACGCATGCGCGAGAAGTGACACTCTTCTTCTACTACTATGTACAGCACGCGTCTTCCTCTGCTTGTAAGACGCGCGCTGTGTAGTAGAAGAAGAACGTCAGTTCTCGCGCATGCGTCGTGGAAATCTCTTGAACTCTCGTCTCAGGCCCACAAGGAAGCAATGGAATAGTAGAATAAAGTCGTTATTTTAGTTTTTTTTCCGCACAAAAAGTATTCTCGTCGCTTGATAAACTTATAGTGGAGCCACTGTAGGCACATGAAACATTTAAACATTTTCTTTAATGACTTTCTGGGCCGTCAAGTGTCAGTCCCTTAGGCAGCCTATGGAGGAGTGATCCAGCTCTCAGATTTAATCAAAAATATCTTCATTTGTGTTCCGAAGATGAACGAAGGTCTTACGGGGTTGGTACAGCATGGGGGTGAGTAATTAATGACTTAATTTTCATTTTTGGGTGAACTAACCCTTTAACATTTGAGAGACCAGAACAAAGACTTATGAAAGTCATTTTCTCATCTGAATCTATTCCCCACTTACATGGACAGATATCCATTGATTCAGGTGTAATAATAATCATTAATTTTTGCCATGTGCTCAGGAGGGAACCTGGTCTGCATCTGTTCTGATATCATTCCTTCCTCTCTGTTTGCAATTATATTCATGTATTATGAGTGATTATTTAGTAAAGAAGTGTTTATAAAAAGTAATCTCAGCAATTTTGTGTGCACTACTGTTCAAAAGTTTGGGGTCAGTAAGATTTTGTTTTTATTTGAATTAATACTTTTCAGCGAGGATGCGTTAAATTGATTAATAGCGACAGTAAGACATTTATAAGGTCGCAAAAGATTTCTATTTCAAATAAATGCTGCACTTTTGAACTTCCTATTCATCTAAGAAAAATGTATCCGTTTCCACATAAATATTAAGCCGTTAACTGTTTTCAACATTGATAATGTTTTTTGAGCAGCAGATCATCATATTAGAATGATTTCTGACGGATCATGTGACACTGAAGACTGGAGTAATGATGCTGAAAATTCAGCTTTGACATCATAGGAATAAATTATTATTTTTATTATATTTAATAAAATAGTATTATAATTCAAAAATGTATCATCATTTTAATTAGATTTTTTAAATTCAAGTTTTTTTTTGTTCAATTTTTGTTCAAATGAATGCAGTCAAAGCATTAAAACAATCATACAGACCCCAGACTATTGAACGGTAGTGTCTATCTTTAAATTGGTCACCCTGGTCTCTATTGGTATCGGCAATTGAGAAAAACCCATCGTGCTTGCTTTAATATCTATTTAATTGACCAAACAAAATGCATTTGTAACTGAGATATAATGTAATGAAAAGAAAAAAGAAAAAAAGAGTGCTCTGGGACTCTACTAAGATAAGCTTGAGATAGAAAAAAACACCTGTAGCAATATGGAGATGTCCAAACGAGTAAGAAACATAAACAAGACAAAATGAAGAATGAAGTCTGTTAGTTGTATGGCTGTGGTGCAGAGGTTAAGCTGTACCTGCAGGTCGGGACAGGAGCGCTTCGCTGGGGGTGACAGTGAGCCCGGCGGTGAGGCCTCGTCTTCCTTTGTGAGGTGTTTTAGCATTATACATTTCTCCACAGTGAAAGACCTGACAGTGTGAAAGACATTAGAGAATCAAGTGAACAGAAAATACACTGTTAAGCATGTACACAGCTACAGTGGCCACTTTACTAGGGGTTTCCAATATTAACCTACTTCCATTCTCCAAAACTGACTAAATTTCAGTAAGATTTTAATACTTTTATTCAGTAAGGACGCATTCAATTGATCAAAAGTGACCATAAATGCATTTATAATGTTACAAAAGATTTCCATTTCAAATAAACGCTGTTCTTTTGAACTTTATACATACCAAAAAAAAAAGAATGAAGACTGGAGTAATGATGCTGAAAATTCAGCTTTGTCATCAGATGAATAAATTCAATTTTAAAATATATTCAAATAGAAAACAGGCATTTTAAATTGTTGTAATATGTCCTGATTTGTTATTATAGCTCTGTTTGAATCTCAAATAATCTCACTGTGGCCCTCATTTATCATTCTCATAATATATCATATCTTTGTTTGTCAGTGCGTTTTGTGGTGTTAGGAATTGTTTTTCTGCGCATTTCCGCACTAACTCAAAACGTGCGTACACCACCTCCTGAGCTGGCGTAGGATTTGAGCGCGCCGTACGCCAACGTCCATATTGATAAATCTCAAAGTCACCGTGGTTTTGAGTGTACGCTGGAAATTTGGTGTACGCACTTTTGATAAATGAGGGCCTGTGTGACTAAAGGCTGCTACAAGAATGCAGGAATTACTGTCAAGTCCAGCATTTCTCCCTCAAAATGAACATTTAGAGGCAAAAATTGTTGAGAAGAACTGAATCAGAACCAAATTTGTTTCCAGTCTTCAAGAATATCCCTCTACTGCTACTATTCCACATTTGACTGAATGAATCTAATAAAGTTGCCACAGTGTGTTTACGTGCACATGATAAGCATGGCACTACTACTTAACTAGAGTTTATCATACTTGTCCCTGCATTTCTGTAGCGCTTCATCGGCTATAAGCTTCAGATTGATCAGCTTATCACCGCGGTAAAACCCATCTGGGGAGAGAAAGAAACACAATAAAACAACTTATTTACACATTTCACAGAAAATCCCGAAAAGACAAAGACAGTAAACGTTTATTAGGTGATAACAGATGTTGATCTTATCATGGCTGAAATGTTTATTTTATGGTTATAGTCCACTCTCAAGCTCAAAGATCTATCAGGCACTGTTAATATCCTGATATTTTTCCGCAAGACTGATCATTATAGTTAACAATGAACCATATGAATGAGCTCATTTTCAGAAAACTCAGCCAAGTACTGAACATAATGCTTTATCGTTGCAAATATTGTTATTTATCCTGATTTTTTTTAAACAATTTGACATTTTCATTATCTTGCATTGTAACGACGAGCCTCCATTATCTTTCCTGCTTGTGGTTGCCAGATGTCAGGAGAATAAATCCCCCAAACTGAGCTTTTCTCTTAAAAGTATATGTTTTCTATCCCTTGTTTTACTTAACATTCCTGCCCAGTAGAAGCGCTGATGATCTGACAAAACCGACAAATATGTAAGTTGAAGTTTAGCCATGTTCATTGATAAATAAGTATCATACAGCCAGTCTGCGTTCCTTCACGAGGCCACGTGTGCGATTTGCTGCTACTGTACTAAATCTGCAAGGTTTTCTGTGACAAACTGTAATAAATCCAAACATAAATCTCGACCACATTGTGTGCAATCATGTTTGACGAATAAATGCACTAATGCAACCTCTGTGCTAGAATACAAAGTAAAAATGCAACATTTGAAATTACGATTAGGAGCCACTGTGTGTGTGTGTGTTAAAATGATCTTTCCCTGGAATATCTGTTTATTATTTGTGATTAATAATTGATTATAATATAAGAAAATAACCCTTATTATACAGCACCATTCCAGCCTTCAAAAATAGCTTAATGATGGATTATGGGATTCTTCCAGGTCATATTTATCCCAAAAACATATTCCCCTTCGAAACATGTCAAACTCTTGGAGTGGAGTTCCCTGTTACTACTAAAAAATAAAAATAAATAAATAAATTCACAGGCTAAATAGCTTTTGATAGTAATACGATTACTGCCACATTCAATCCACAGACTAGTGAACAATGTGAAATGCAGCACTCCTTTGCAGTAGATGGAAACTCAGCAGATTAACTTTGGGATTAGCAGAGTTTATATACTTTGAGTAAATTACGATTGATTTTTTTGGCATGCTTTTCTTACCGGCTGTTATAAGAAGACAGCACTGAGAGTCCATGATCCTCTCACACAGCGACTCGGCGGAGAAACCGGCAAACTGGGTCGTGAACACAAAAAAACGTGAATAAATTGAATGTTGGAAAAGCATTTTTCCTTTCTGAATTTCTGAAATTTTAAACAGTTGGCAAACAGTCCAACTGTTGAAAGAAAGTTGAAACATGTATAGGTGCTTTTTTTTTTTCTTTTTTTTTTTTAAGCTGATTGGTCAATACAGTGCTCCAGCTAAATTCCAAGGGAAGACAAAGGAAATGAGTCTCAAATGACAAAGGACTGACCACAATAGAGTGAACCGCTCCAATCCGAGCGCAGGCCAACATGGCCACCACCAGCTCCACCACCATGGGCATGTAAATAGACACACGGTCACCTTTCTTCACTCCTGCACAGTCAGAGAGAGTAAGAGAGCAAGGGATGACAAGAGGACATTTCCTTAATACACTACATCGGTGTCAAATCTTTAACCTGCTGCTGGTCCATTATACCATTCTTAACCAGTTCAACAGCATTTGTGTGAGCATACCTTGTGACTTGAGGACATTAGCAAACTTGCAGACTTGCTGGAGCAGTTCTCTGTAGGTCACCGTCTTCTCATCTCCAGGTTCATTACCCTCCCTGTACAAATCAAAGCCAGAAATGTTACTCTCAATAGCATTCAATAATTTTCTCTTTTTTTGGCCCATTTTACCTGTAAAAGAAAACCTACTTAAAAATGATGCACACCTGAATACATTTATTAATACACCCTTAACATTTATATATCACTTATACATGATTAAATAAAAAATGAGCAGTAGTTATTAAGATTGATGAGGTTTGGAATTGGTAAAATGTGCTTGGAAATAAAATATGATCAGAATATCAACTTGCATAATCATTATGCACACTGTATAAAAAAAGTATTTTTATTTAGAAAATATGCATTAAATTGATCAAAATGACAGTAAAGACTTTACAATGTTATAAGAGTTATTTTTTAGAAAGCAAGATTTCTATTTCAAATAAATGTTTTTTTTTTTTTTTTACGTTCTATTCAAAGAATCCTGAAAAAATGTATCATGGTTTCCACATAAATATTAAGCAACAAAAACTGTTTTCAACATTGGTAATAGTAAGAACCATTATCAATAATTGAGCAACGAATTATCATATTAGAATGATTTCTGAAGGATCATGTGACACTGAAGACTGGAGTAATGATGCTGAAAATTCAGCTTTAACATCACAGGAATAAATTACATTTTAAGATATATTCAAACAGTTATTTAAAATTGTAATAATAGGTCACAATATGAATGTTTCTATTGTATTTTTGATCAAATAAAAGAGCATTAGAGAGTTTTTAAAACTATTTGTAAAACCGTACCCACCCCCAACTTTTGAACGGTAGTGTATTTCTCATAGACATATTTTCTTACTTAGTTCATTTAGTCACAGTCATAATCATGTACATTGCCATTGAACATAGCATTAGTACTCAAGGATCAAAGTATGAACTTGAGACACTGAGCAAGATTTGTGCATCTCCTAGATTCAAAGCCATGTTCAATTTTAACATTCAGTGTTTGTTTGTGATATGCTCCAATTACTGTAAACCTCTGATAACACTATTTTGGCGTGAGATGTGCCCTTAAATGTCCCCTACAAGTTAACGTGTAACTTTTTATTTTTCCTTGACTTTGGATGTCAGCAGACATTCTTAAAATACAGCTGCGTTCTGACACAAAGGAGAAGCCTGGTAAAAGACCACAACTGCAGAAGAGAGTCAAGTTTGAGTGTTACAAACTTATGTTGTATTGCTAAACTGGCATTGCAAAAGCAGAGAATTAGCAACTGCCCCAGGCAACATTCGTTGAAGTGCTTGAAGGCTATTTATGTAGATCTGAATGCTAATGAACAATGACCTTAAAAAAAGTCCTCATGAACTGCATGGACAGCATTCAGCACAGAAAAACCTGATCCACTGCAATGCACATGAACAAATGAAGCCTATGAAGATGCAACACTAAAGATACACTTCATTCTGGTTGGACTGCTATTGGCGGGACCTGGTTCAAGCTTACTAAAATAGCTCCAATGTGCCCCTGTCTGTCAACAAGCCTGTGTATTAAATTATTACACGGATATAATAACAGCATAGCAATACTGTATCGACTCAGGTAATCTGAAAGTGGACTAAACCATGTAGGTTTGTGGCTTAATATACAGGTCTTAACCTAAATACAAGTGTGGCTTAACCTAAAGGTTTTAGTGCGGGGCTGGTTACTGAGAGGTTGTAGATTGAAATTCGGTAAGGGCCGAACCATGAGCAATCATCATCAACCAATGTTAATTTAGAGGTATTAAAGTGCCCCTATTATGCTTTTTCGCAGTGTGTAATATAGCTGTTTTAAAGATCAAAGTGGACGACAAATAAAGGTATTGTCTCCTAAAAAAAAAGATTCGATTCTGAACTGCTGAAACAAGTCATCAGCAATTCCAGTCTCACTTCCTGTTACACACCTACATAACAATGTAACAAATTAGCAAAATCCCTGTTTATGGTCTTCATTAGCTCCCCACGAACAACATCTACTTTGACCCGCCCTCAAAATCTTTAGTTGTAACTGAGGACTGGAAGAGTTTGGTTTGTGTTGTCGAAATGTCGAGAAGATGCTGTTTTCACTGCTTCACTTGAGCTGGACACAGAAAACATCACATCAGCGACTCCACTTCTTGCGGCAGCTCAAAAAGTTTGGTGTCAGCCGAGTTGCCATGACCCACTTTTATAGGTCTACTATTGAAAGCGTCCTCACTTTCTCCATGCTTGTCTGGTTCGGTCATACAACCGCTCAGGACAAAACTAGGATGGAAAGAGTAGTATGCAGGGCTTCAAAAATCATAGGCTGTAGCCTCCCTTCACTTTCTTCACTCTTCTCCACTCTTATAATTAGAAAGGCTAAAAACATCATAGCGGACCACTCTCACCCTGCTCATCATCTCTTTAATCTCCAACCATCAGGAAGAAGATATAGGAGCATTAAGACTTCCACATCACATTCCGCTTCAGAGACAGCACCTTCCCTCTGGCTATTAGACATCTGAATTTGCACTGACTGCTAGCCGCACCTTTATTAACAGCAGGCACTGTGCACTTTCTGGGCCGTGGGGTATTATCCTTTGTACGACTGCAGGGTTCTGGTCTAATGTCTTAATGTTGTTGGGGACTATTGATGTATATTGTTGGTGTACTTTTGATGTCTGTCTTTTAGGTCATTTATGTCTGAGAGTTGTACCAAGACAAATTCCTATCAACTTGTTGACATGGCAATAAATTATTGAATTGAATTGAAAAACCGGCGCAGTCGTTACTGTTCGTATCATCGTATATCAAGTGCCGTGGAAGCTCTGGGGATGAAATTCAGATATGGTAATGGCCGTTTCATTTCGTAGACCAATCACAACAGACTGGGCCGTCTGACCAATCAGAGCAGAGTAGACCAATCACAACAGACTGGGCCATCTGACCAATCAGAGCAGAGTAGACCAATCACAACAGGGGCATGTTCAAGTTCAAAACGGTGCGCAACGTTTTGCTACGGTTTCCGGGTTGAACGTCGTGTTTCCTGGAAACGGCGTGCACCAGGGTTTGAGATGCGTTTTCTCTTGTTTGGTGGGTGTGTCAGAACTGCAGTCCAATCAGCAGCAACATGTATATAAAGCACGTGGTATTAAAGTGAACTCGCACAATGGGTTCAAGGAAAGTAATTTACAAATGTGTTCGATGCAGCTCGCTATACGCAACAACTGAGGATATTAGAAGACATGTTTGTCGTAAGTTTTGTAAAATTATAGGATATCAACATAATGATGTAGTTGTTTATATTTTTAGCTTCATTGCAAGTGTATGACATTTAGTATAGAAATAAACAATGGTAATTAAGTGTTTTTCCTAAAAATGAGAAAGAAAATACAGGGTATTAAAACAGTATGAACTACAAATAAAGTCAGTATGTGAGGCTAAATAGATGTGCTTTAGTCTGAATTAGGTAAGATGTGTGCTTCCATTTCAGTTTCCACAAATCCCTTTACTCGACTGGGATGTTCTCTTGTGTTCTGGGTGGCAAGTGCAGTAACTGTAACATCGGGCATATTTTGTAGTATTAAACACATATTTATACCGACTTCATCAGGCTCTGAAAATTCTTCACAAAGAACACAAAGAATGGCCTTCTCAGCTGCCATAGTTGCAACTCTTGCGTCATCAGAACAGTGTGTTCAGCGCATCACCGTTTCTGTTTAAAAAACGTTGTGCAACGTTTTGTCGGGGCTGAATGCAGCCCAGACTGGCCTGTCTGACCAATCAGAGCAGAGTAGACCAATCACAGCAGAGTAGACCAATCACAACAGACTGGGCCGTCTGACCAATCAGAGCAGAGTAGACCAATCACAACAGACTGGGCCGTCTGACCAATCAGAGCAGAGTAGACCAATCACAACAGACTGGTCCGTCTGACCAATCAGAGCAGAGTAGCCTGGCGGTAAAGGAGGGGTTTAGAGAGACTGAATCTTCGAACAAACCTTTTTCAGATTCTGAGAAATTAGGTGATGCTTCAATGTATAATATGAAAAAAATTTAAGCGTTTTTTGACCTTGGATGCATGTAAACCTATTGATGGAGACCTCCAAAACAAAATTAGGAATTATTTAAAATAGCACAGTAGGGGCACTTTAAGTGTACTCTAAAATGTTGTTTTGTATAATAATATTGACAAAGTAGATGAAGATCAAAACACTGACATCACCATTCTCAAAATAAAAAACAAGACTCTTAATGTCACGTGCACAACTTCCGGGTAAACTGAAACATTTAAACCACATGCTTCAAATACTTACCAGTAAAAAGCCACTCTGTCACCCAGTTTCCTCTCATGGACGATGCGGTCCAAAACATTATAGCAGATGTTGGTTGTGGCGCCTTCCATGCACTTCACGTAAATCTCACCCTTGGTCACGTCGAAATTGTAGTCCAGGAACTTCCCAGTGTATTTTGTCTTCCAGAAAAAATCTTTGGCGACATCTCCCCAGAACTCTGGACACAATGGGACAAACAAATGCTGATTCAGAACTTGTGTACAGAGAACCAGAAGAAAAACCACAGACAAATTCACTACCTATATGGTACTAGTACAAATTTTTTTTTTTTTTTTTTTAAACATACACAATAATAATAATGAATACATTAATGAAGTATTAGAATTATTATTAAAAACATTTTATTTCAATGTACTAGTATAGATGTTTGAGTCATTTGGTCTGTATGGATTTTTATCGTTTCAGAAAGTACAACAACAATAAATACATAAAGTGTGTATTATTAAAGAATAAACTATTATTTTATACATTAAATATAGATACAAGGCTACATGAAGCTTTGCTGGCTAGATCTAAGATTCAAAGCAAAGTTTACAACATCAAAATAATACACCGACCTAACCGTAATTCAAAAATAGAGCCTATAGGTGGTTAGATACAAACTGCTGTCTACCAAGGGCACAAGGCTTTAAAAAACAGCCATGTGAAGTTTTTGTTTTTATTTTGCTTCTCGAAAATATTTAACCCGTTAATAACCTGCACAAAAGCATGAAACTCACCCTCAGGAGACTCGACAGAGTTGATGTAGAGCTCTTTGTATTTCTCAAAACTGGGGATGTGCGCTTCTTTCTTCAAGTCCTCTGAAGCATGTAACACGTTATCGCCTGGTGCCTTATCAGGGATCATTTTAATAACCAATTAAATGAACGCAACTAATATAAAAACAGTAAGAAAGCACACAGTGATCACTGGCCTAATGTGTGTAAGTCACTTCCGTGTGGGAGAGTTTCACTCCCATTCAGCGCCGTGTATTTGAGCCTGAAATTATTATCAAAACGAGAGTAAAATCTAGATTTAGTTTTATATCTAGATGTGAACGCGCTGCTTTTGTTTTAATAAAGAAGTGGCGATTCGGATTCAGATTGCAAGGACGAGTCGTCTGAAACGCGTTAAAATTGCACTTTAAATAATTATTACTATTTTAAGTAAGCTCGAAATGTTGCTCCAACGACACTAGACGGAATAAAAAAGTAAGTTTGGATTTAGAAGAAGTCTCACATATATATTAAAAAATTAAGATGCACTTGAGAGCTGTCAGACAGCAGGTCTAGCTCCTTTAGCTGGAGGTTATATTGTGCAAGGTCGATTAAAGCTGGAAATAATTCCCCGCATTTGAGAGAAATCTTAGCCTGTAACTGAACCAGACATGTAATTAAAATAGCCGTGCATGCAGTATGATATTATTCATTCTTCCACGCGTGGATTACAAATCCTCAGTGTGTCTGCAGGAGGACAGCCATTGAAGAGTAGAAATAATGTAAACGCCTAGAAGGGCAAATTACCGATAAACGTATGTTCTTAGATGGGCGGGGCTTAGCCTTAAGGATGTTGATTCTTATTGGTTCCTTCACAATGTACATTTTATTTAAAAAAGAAAAATACTTATACAATACTATATTCAGCAAAGAAGAAAAAAGGCCAGAGCACATTTTTAAAAAATACACAAACTAAAAAAGAGTCTATGACAGAATTAAATCATTAAACGGATAGTTCACCCAAAAATTAAAATTCTGTCATTTACTCCCTCAATTTGTTCCAAAACCTGTATGAATTTTCTTCTTCTGCTGAACAGAAAAGAAGGTATTTTGAGGAATGTCGGTAACCAAACACTTGATGGGCTCCATTGACTTCCATAGTTTTTTCCCCCAATACCATGGAAGTCCATGGCTACCGTCAACTGTTTGGTTATCCATATTCTTTAACATATCTTCTTTTGTGTAAAACTGAAGAAAGAAACTCATGCAGGTTTGGAACAACTTGAGGGTGAGTAAATGATGACAGAATTTAATTTTTTTGGGTGAACTGTCCCTTAAACACCAAAAAGTTGGGTGTTTAGTAAATTGATTTATTTGAAATCTATTCAAATGTTTACAAATATTAATCCCATTTCAGACAATACATTTGGAGATTTTGCAACTTTTAGTCTTCTACTCCAAAGGGATTTCAAGTATGGTAAAAAACCGTTGTAATAGCTGCTCTATTATTATTATGTTTGGTAATCAGTTTGCAGTTTCCATCTAAACTGTCAAGTATATAAAGAGGGGGTAATTAAAAAAGATATTCAAAACAGTTGTCAAAAGGAACTCGCAACTCCCGGTATATCATATATTGTATTATGGTCTAATAAGACAATTAAAAAATAAATAAAAATAAAAAATAGAATGAGACAATGCAGCTCCGGCTTTCTGGGCCGCCAAACGCCCCCTAGAGGAAGAACACAGTGCGGCCTGAAGCTGTTAGAAAGATTTACGAGAAATGACAACAGGAGATGCACGAGTGTGTTTGAGCTCACAATGACCTCTACCGGACGGAGGACAATCGTTGACAGTGACGCTAAATATTCTAACATGCATTCTTGTTAAAAAAAAAAAAAAAAAAAATTTCCTGCAATTAAGCAAACCTTTTTGGGTGTAATTCGATAAAATTAGGTTTTTATGTTATGAAACAATGAAGTTTCGTTGTGACATCATGTTTTTTTTTATTGTGTTATTCTATCAAATTTAGTTTTTATGTTTGTACAACTGTTCAGAACTGTGCTAGGTAACCATGTGCTGGTTATCATCTTTGAACTCAAAAGTACCTTAAATTGTCACTACCAAAACAGTCATGACTGAAACATGCCATCATTGTTTTGGTAGTGACAAAAGGGAACACATAATCATTAATTGGGGGGTAAATAAACAAAAATTGTTTACAGTTAAGCAAATCATTAGTATCTTAGTATGTTTTAGTATGCGAGTTAAAATTCTGTAATGCGATGTGGTCGCTACCAAAACATTGCGGTCACTACAGAAAATGTGCCGTTTCGACCGAAACATGGATGTTGTGTCTAAAATAAAAGTATACTGAATCATCAACTAAGATGTTATTATAGTGTTTGGTTCTATGTATATTCAAACTAATGAATCCTTAACTTTGAAATCAATATGATTAACTTGATGGCTTTTACAAAGAAAGATTGGGTTCAAAATACAACAAATCTTATAAATTACACTTGAAATATTGTTAAAATTGTAATTGTTATTGATTAACCTGTGAAAACTTTTTTTTTAAAATAGCAAAAAATATATTTACAAGGTAAATGTAAACAAAATATTAATAGGTCAATATAAGCCTTATTAAATGATGTATTATTGTTTCAGTAGTAACAAATTTGGGGAGAGGAAAAATATTCCAAAACTTTCTGAAAATACAATATAATAATTAACTGCACAATTGTACTAGAAATGTGTACCTTGGATGTTATACAATTTGCATACAATGTTTATGGAAAAAGACACCCTTTTTTCCCCAAGACGTTTCCAACTCTGACTTTGAACCAATTCTGCAGAATGGCCCATATACAAAAGTGCGCTAGGGGCTGTTATTTTAGTGCATACCTTTGGATGCTTTATATGTTTAATTGATCATCTTTTAGTGGCTAGATGATATTTTATCTTGCTATTATTTCTACTGAAGTTAAAACTTATCCAAAAGCTTGCTTTGACAGTGTACCACACATACATCACTTGCTTTAACTGTTGCTCATTCAAAGACACATTGACCAACAGTGAATCTAAGGAAACTGTATCCTGTCACAGTAAAACACTGAACAGATATTCTCACAACACCACAATTGGTTTCCTTTTCCCATGGTTAATTAAATTCCCTTCTAATTTAATAATACTACTCCTCAAATAGTTCATTTTAATTATTCGCATGGAGCCTAACAGTCATTAATAACAACTTTAATCCACTCACATTATTAAAAACAAACACAGGAGTCCAATTTTACTTTTTATTTTACAAAGAAACTTCCAGATCCCATCCTTAAAGTTAGATGTTCCTGTAAAGAGAGAACGCAATCATTAGAATCATAATCCTCATCCGGCTGCCTGATTTAAACAGATCCGCAATTAAACCACATTTGATCAACAGCTATTACAATCAAAAGGCTTTTTAAAGTAGTTTGCATTATTATAAAAAATAAAAAAAGACTCTTCTAAGCAGTTTCAATACAAACAGTTTCACATAAGCACATATTTGCTTTGTCACTCTGCAAGACTTGTCATCTTCGGAACACAAATGTAGTTAGACCGCAACTACTTTGACAGTTTAAAAAGTTCATAAAGGAGTCTAAATGTATTCTTATGCAACATGTTTGAGCTTTCACAAGAGGTTTGTTCTTGCAGGTTTGGTTGAGCTTCTGTTTATGTTCGCTGACCAATGTTCATTTGTGAATAAAAGCATAAATCATTAATCTGTTCAATAATCTTTAATCTGTTCCACATAAAAAGTGATCGAGTCTCTTCAGAAAATTTGGACTAAACTGCTCAATTCATATGGATTATTTTTACGATCTCTTTTGAAGCGTTAAAGTGATAGTTGAGTAGCTGTCAATGGAGGAACAGAAATCTCTCCGATTATCAGAAAGATCTTCATTTGTGTTCCGAAGATGAACGAAAGTATTACGTGTTAGGAACAACCTGCGGGCGAGTAGATGACAATTTTCATTTTTGGGTGAAATAACCCTATAAATGTTCTCACTGAAGTTCACTGAAAATCATGACTAGGAAACATTTCTTACTATGAAAAGCAGTTTTTCCCCCCACACAATCATAATGGAGCAACACTTTAAACACTAGTAATTTTATAGAGCATTTACAAGCCGACAGAAAATTCAGAGGAAACAACAGCAGCATTAGTCGTCCACTGGCAGGAGCTTACTTTGCCACAATGCTGTCGTTCTTTGCAAGCCTCAGGAGGGAGTCATCAGCTTCACCCTGTAGATGACAACGCAAACGTCTTGAGACCACAACAGATGTGACACCATACATTTATATGAACACCTTCCAAACTTCACACATATGAGGTAATGTCACGGTAAAATGGGCTATAAGTGTGATTGAACACATACCATTCTACGGATGGCGCCACAGATGGCGTAAGTCTTGAACTGGCCATTGAACCTGCCTGTTGCCCTGTCCACCTGTAACAACAGGTCGAGAGCCTCATTAAAAATCACAACTCTTGAGGTTTTGTTGGTGTGATTATAATAGACTAATAACAGTATTGTTAAAGACAAAAACAGTTAATATTGTGTTTAAATAAGATCATAATCGTGTACACTTCATCTGCTTTAAATAAATAGCATTTTTTACTTTGCATGCATTATTTACATGACTTTCAATATATAAAAACAGTTTTGCTAATGGAAAAATTAAAAATCAAAAGCAATGTGTGTTTTAGCTAAATCTGGAGTAAATAGTGTAAAATAAGTGTTCATTTACGTGTACACTTACTTGCTCTAATTAAATAGCATATGGCTTGTATATATTATCAAATTGCATTTATGAATGCATGTCTGCAAAGACTAGCTCTGTAATGATCAAACTCATGTCAAACCTCAGCAATGTTGAGTTGGATGGAGGCATGGTCCTTGGCACCGATGATTCTGTTGCTAGCAGAGCTGGGAATACAAAAAAAACTTAATATTGACAAATTTGGGCGCTCAACGTATTTATAACTAGTATTCAACTGTTCTAATATGACTATTTCAAAGGTAAAACTGAATTCTAGCACACACAGCTAGTGACAATTCACATTAGTATTAATATAGGTATTTGATCGAAGGTTGAACCTTTCACAAACTTCATGTGAACTCACCATTTACGGGGGACGTACAGGTCCACGAATTCACCAGCATCGTTCTGCATCTTGACTTTACTTGATGACTGTCAATCAGCTCAGTCTGTATCAAACAAAGAAATCAGTCAATCAAACAACATTCTTTACAAGTTGGAGGCGGGGTTGATTCTTATATTTTTAGACACTTATTTCAATCGCAGACAGTGAACTAAAGGATCTGGAGAGCGGCCGCGATGAGCGATGCTCTCCACATGTGTAGCGACTCAGCCCTGCTGAGTTATTCACCATAAAACGCACAGAAAACGCGAATATCTGATACACCTTGTGTAGAACAGTCCCGTGCATAGATGGTGTGAGAAAAACGTTGTTAATGTTGGCTTGAAACAGTAAAAACTATAACAGTAAGCTAGAGCTCATGGTGTTCTTACCGAATTTCACAAATGGCCGACGCGGAAAGGAAGGAGAAAGGGTCAGGAAGTGACGTAACAGGAAAGACAGAATAAGAGTGCATGCTCTTTATTTAACAGAATAAATATTCTCACCAGTGCCGAAATTGGAAACTTTACAAACAAACCTTTGTAAAAGGAAAAGTCCGAATTGTGAAATAATTCCTTTTTAATTTTTTTATTTCGTTGCGGAAACAAGCGTCAAAGTTACATCTTTCTGACTAGTATTTTCATCTATTCTTAAAGACGCCACAAAACAAAAAAGCTTATAAAACAATACATTTTTAAAGCTTTTAAAATTCATGTAACTGCCCTACAAATTATGTATAACTTTTTATCCCCGTATTTTTAATTATTTGTAACAAGAATTGTGAACCTGGCTGTATCCAATTTTCAGATTATTTTTTCATAGTTAACATAACATTAAAAAAGCTTGTAGTACAAACCCCTTTTCTTAATGTGTTGTGATTAATGATGAAAATATGGTGATACCTATTGGTTCAATTTTTTTGCTTCGGAAACTAGGCTATATAATATTCAATGTCCAGTAAACTACACCTGAATTCTGATATTATTCTGATAATATAAAAATGTGTCAGTATTGTAAAATGCAAGGACAGCACATTTAATCAAGTTTATCAAATTAAAAACATTAGACACCAGATTTTCAAATGAAACAGAATACTCCTGTTATGAATGCAAATAAAAAGAAATTAGTGGCAATGTTTTAAGTATGAGGAAGACACCTTATCCTATCTGGTAAAGCCTTCCTTCTTGGACTGTCACAAGTTTTTAAATGCAAGCAAACATGCATGCACAAAAAGTTCCATCCGACATAGTAGACAAATACTAATTTCTTGTTAAATAATTTTTACAAGATAATGAAATTGAAAATGAGTAAATAAACCTCAGATACAGGCATCTCAAAGTATGGGTGGAAGCATTAAAGTTTTTTTTTTAAATATTAAAAGATATAATAATTTAAACCTTCACATTATACCATTTTAGGGCATGCAGACGATATCCCTGTCACAAGCTGTTTAGCCTACATCATCAAAGTCAAAGTATCTTTATTTGTCTCCCCGAGGATAAATTAGTTGTGGAAATAAAGAGATTGCTACAAATAGATTACAACAAGACAGAACAGAGGTATAGGTTTAAAACAGTTAAAAGACAAAAGTACATAAATCATTAAGGCTACACAAAGAGCTGTGCAAATAGCAAATCACTTTTCTAAAATCTGCTTGTGCAAAAGTAATATCATGTCCATAAATAATACAATCACAGATTTCACAGATATGCAGGGTTAAAAACAGTTAAAAGACAAGAAGTACATAAAACATTAAAGTCCCCTTGAATTCAAAATTGACCATACTTACTTTGTTTGCCTAAATTGATCGTTTTGTGGTGAACAATTCATCCATGCAAGTCAATCCACACAAAAAATTTTTTTGGCTTCGTAATCTTTAATCAAAATCTGAAATTTCCCCTCCCCTCTGCGTTGGAGGACCTTGCCTGATGACGTAGGCTTTACGGTTTGGGCGTCTTCTTAACATCCGTAATCACGCCCCTCCAACTGACAGTAGACAGGCTGAATGAAAACACCTACTTTTCTAGATCCAATCAGGTGCTAGTAGGGAAAAAAGCCACGCCCACCATTTTGCCTCATTTAGTATTCCGTTTCTCTCAGAAATACGTCACAACACTGGAGAAAAGTCATTTGCAACTTCCGGTTCACGGGGACTTTAAGGCTACTCAAAGAGCTGTGCAAATTGCAATTAACAATTTTCTAAAGTCTGCTTGTACAAAAGTAGTATCATGTCCCTATACATAACATTCAATTACAGATATACAGTACATTAATAAATTCATGGTCACACGTTCATCGCTGATCATTAGCCGCGTTTCCACTGCCGGGCCAGGGCCGGGCCGTGCTAGTGCGTGCCAGGGCCAGTCGCGTTTCCACTGTCACTTCCGGGGCTTGATCGGGGCTTACTCGGGGCCAACGGCCAGGATTTCTGGCCCGTCGAATACCTTGGGCCAAAGCGGGCCAGCTCGGGCTAGAGGAGTGGTTACGAACAGAGGCGGGGATTACCTGAGTCGAGAGACAGGAGCGCCGAATGATTCTGTCAGCATTAAAGACTTTTAAAATAATTTAACTCACTTTCATGTTTTAATGCCTTCTGTTTGTGATCCGATGTGGATTCTGATCACCGTATAAGGCAGAAATATTTATACGCGATGCAAAAGACTATGCATTGCGCGCTAACCATTACCATAGTAAACATAGTAAACGCTTGAAGATACGCATAGTAAAAAAACATGGTGAACGCTTGAAGAAGTCAGACCATTCATAAAGGCTATCACAATCCTGTTTTTATTTTATCTGTCAGTAGCCTATACTAGCCTACATAGTAGTCTCTTTATACCGGACTATCTACTTTTTTTTTCGGGAGCTTCCTGTTTCTCTGACTGAAAATATATCTGTAGCTACTGGGAGTCGAGACTGTGCTAACGCTCCTCAGGTCGTATTTTTGGTGGCATATAACATTATTTGTAGAAATGATCATTCTTTCTAAATGTGATATATGTCCTGTAACTACCAAATAAACAGAAACAGCCTCGACTGAATAATGTAGCCTAAGTGTGTCCTCTTTCTTTTTTGAAATAGACCTAACGGTCGTTTATTTCTGTGTGACTAATGTGCAATTTTGACATAAATTAATTCATTATGATCAATGTATCACTTTTTATTGTAAACCTGTGGTAAAACATCGATGCTTGGGTTTTAAATATTCAAGTAAACAACAAAAATGCCAGCAAACGGCCGCTTTTATCATGTTTGTTTTGCGATGCACGCTGTTTCCAGTGATTTCTTTCTGATTAGTTTTCTGGTAAAACTTCCATTTGTTGGTGAAATGATGGGTTAGTGTGACGTTGTTCCAGAGAGGCGTGTTGCGGGCGTGTTTTAGTGACGCGCTGTGGAGCTTCTGGCCCGACAGTGGAAACGCAGGCCAGGTGCTACTGGCCCGAGGCTATTAGCCCGGCACGGCCCGTTTAAAGCCCTGGCCTAGCACTGGCCCGACAGTGGAAACGCGGCTCCGCGGCTTCCTGTCTTCAGGATTACTAGGGCTAAGGCTATAGGCAGGAGAGGTTTTTTTCAGTGTTGGAGTCAAACTCTGCAGGATAGCGGCTCTCAAGGACCGAACTTGCCTACCCCTGCGTTAAGGGGTGCCGGTGTACCCATAATTTTACCTTTTTCGTCTGGACCAGATTAAAAACCTGAGTTTTTGATTTGACTGTCAAATTGCCAAACCAGCTGGTGATACCATACCGAAGAATGGACTATTGTTTTTTTGTCTATCATACATAGTTCAACAAAAATTCACTGGAATTTAATTTCAAAACAAAACACTATGCAATCCCACGGATACAACCACTTCTTTTGAGTGTTCTTTATTGGAGGAATAGCTATTTCACACCTGCTCTGTTTTCTCATTGTTGTTTTTTTCTCATGCACCAAATGCTAAACAATAGATTCCGGCTTGCGGCAGAATGCCATTACGAGAGTCTGTGGGAGATGTGAACAGCTTGTGGGCTCCGACAGACCATCAGAGTTACAATGCAATGAGAGAAAGGGAGTTCCATCCTATCAGTCATTCCTCTGTCTATGCCTTTAAATTACACTGTTTCAGGTTGACTTTACAGCTTAAATGATCATTTACATATATTTTTTTAATATATTGGTTTATTTCAGTATAGGGACAGTACAGAAAACATGATTCCAGCCAAAAGCTGTAAATGATGCATTGCACATAGAGAGTATAACATAGGCTAATTTGCATATTAGGTCCCTATTCAGACTTAAAAAAAAAAAAAAATATATATATATATATATATATATATATATATATATTAGGGGTGTAACGGTACACAAAAATCACGGTTCGGTACGTACCTCGGTTTTAAAGTCACGGTTCGGTACGTTTTCGATACAGCAAAAATTAAGAAATGCCAGAGAAATTTCCTATTTGTTAAAAGAAATTTTTTTTTTAAATAAGTGTGAGTTTTCCTTCATCTTGAAACTTTCAGGTTTATAAATGGGTGTCATCTTTGAAGGATGAACAAATAATGTTTTGGTCATCACATTAAAAATAACATTTAAATATATGAAGAGTTTAGATGCAAAAGCCATTTGAAATTTTCTTCTAGAATGATCATTTTTATCAAGCTTGTATATTTAAGTTCAGTAATTTCACTTAAATGGCAATGAATATTGCCTATTAATTGTCATTTGAGTGAAATTACTGAACTTAAATGTACAAGCTTCATAAAAATGATCATTCTAGAAGAAAATTTCAAATGGCACTTATAGAGGCTTTTGCATCTGAACTCTTCATATAGGCTATTTATATAATATTTGAGTTTTGAAGTGCTGGAAAAAGATGTGTGAAGTACTTGAAAGCATTTCACTATTCCAGCCAAACTGGTTACAATTAGTGTTACTATATTAAATCCATGGTGAATGTTGCTGGTCTGAGGACGTAAAGTATTACTAGTTCATTCACGGCACAATGTTTCTCCTGGTTTCCACGTCAGCGCTGTTTGATCTAATAGAGATCTACGGTTAATAACGGAGAAATTTGAATGCTTCTCACTAGATCTCGCAGCGATGTTATTACTTCAGTGGCGAATTCAAATGTTTTCTTTACTGGATCTCTTAGCGCTGTGTTGTAACGACTGTAACAGTGTCGCTTGATCGAGGTCGGCTCCATAGGTCGGCTCCCGCTGCACAGATGTTGCTGCTCCGAACCATAGACAGTAAAAGAAATGGACAGAGCGATCTCATTGGAACTCAGTTGAGACAGTTGAAGCCCACTTTTAGCGATTTTTGAGAACTTCCGTTCCTGACGCGCAGACTCAAACCGACTCAAACTAAGCTTGATGACGTGAGCAACCTGTCTGACAGACGTGAATCTTCTAGTAGCTGTGCGTGAAAATTGCCAACGTTAATCTTGCAGAGACGGGGAACTTGAGCAAAGAGTCCT